GAGACCTTCCTCTTCAAACCAGTTTGCTTTAATTGGGGTGCTAACAGAAACAGTGGTTTTGAAAGAAATATTTCTTTCTTTTGTTTCAATTATCAGCTGAATTAACAATTTCAATAACTTACTCTGCCACTTTCATATTTAAAATGAATTAAAGGCAAAACAGAATGCCGGATTCTATCATTCTCAGGGTTTGCTCCAAGTAAGGACACAAGCCAAGAGACAAGCCCTTTTTTCCTATAAAGAAAATTTTCCTTGAGAAATATGTAGAATGAGTTATGTGGTTTCCTGCCAAATAGGAAAGATAAGAATATATATGATGTTGCATCATGTTTCCCAGATCAGCTGGACATTTAGTGAAAAGGAGTCAAGGCCTGATCAATCTCTCCCAGAAAGGACTGGAAGGCTTTCTTTCCATCAGCTCCAGTGAGAGTTGGATCTATCCCCATCTGCATGTTTTCAGGCACAAGACCAATTTTCATTTCCTGACCTGCATGTATTTCCATTGAGAACACTACTATTGCACAGAGAGAGGAACAACTTATCAGAAGATCACAAATATCCAACACCTTTTTTAGTTAATATTCTGCAGATACAGCAAATTTAGCATATTCGTTAGATGTTTCTATACACATCTTCAAGATTGTAGCGTACTAAACAAGAACAAAAATAATATGAATTGCTTTATTGCAATAATTGCATCTGCCATATTTGCATGAATGTATTATCAGACGCATGCATTCATGCCTGCACACATAAGCCTTCATCTCTGGCGCAAGGACAAAGAAGCCTTTTAACGTATATGAAGCAAGAAGCGTTACATTGCAAGCCTTTATTTATGTGACTACAAAGAATCAGATAGTACTGCTGATTATAAGCCAGATCATTGCAGGTTTCCAGAATCAGTCCCTTGGAACTTGCCTTTTTTTTTAAATGAACATCATAATTCATAAGGACTGTGTGTTTACGCGTTTGCTACCTAACCTAATGCACTTCATGTAAATGTCTCAAGTCCTTTAACTTTAAATGAATTCTCTCCTGGAACAGTAGAACCTTAGGGTGTTACTGTAAGAGTAACTTCACACCAATCTTTTTTGACATGCTCTGAGCGCTCACAGTTTCTTTTCATTCTCAAGATAAGCAATAATATATTTATCAAAACAACTTGAACCACAGAGGGTGGTGTAGGCTGAAATGTTGTTCATTGCTTATTACAGTAGTGTAAATACCGTATATACCATTTGTATGAAAGTTATATTCTATAACACAAACCCCATTAGGCAAGTAATATATTCAATCTGTAATACTTTCTATTGCCAGTTTCATCAAGCTGATTTGGAATTTGTTGCCTGGATAGAGCAACTCATATGTTTACTGGCCCTGAAAGGTGCTGGGCATCTTCCATACTCATTAAAGTTAATGACTTCAACAGCAGACAGGGAAAACTGTATGTTGAAGTGGGTTTCCTCTTAACAGGTATTCCCAAGTTATCATTTAAGAGAGCGTGTAAGTGGTGTCAATTTTCTTCTGCAATCACAAAACCAGCCCATAACCAAACCCCTTTCCCTTCATTGCGAAAATAACCCGATTAGCTTCACAGGGACTCCTTGTTGGAGTAAGGCAAGAAAAAAAATTGCAATGTACACAGAGATTTCCACATAAAAGCTCGGTTTCTTGCCATAAAACTAGTCACATCCTCACCGGAACAGAGGAATTAACATACTGGAAACAAGCCAGTAATTTTATAGAAATATATGCCTTTAAGTAAGCTCTAAATCAGCATTCTCACAATAGCCACAGCTTTGGCATCATTTCTATCCCAACAAGCCACAGCTGCTGAAACAGAGACTTCTGACTTCATACTAGATAAGTAATGAGAAGTTTTAGGCAGTGATGCCAGAGTCTGTCCTTTGATATCAAGACAGCGCACTACAGTTGTTGACCAGCTACACCCAAAAGATATGCCTTTAAATTACACTAGTTAGCTAAAAATATTCAGGCGAGAACTTCACAGAGACTTATGCCATGACATTACACTGTCAACCAAGATACGATGAGACTGAGACCTCACAGGCATCTGTGTGTTCATACAAAACCAAGAAATTAGGAGGACTGAATCTTTAACCACAGAGAGACCTCTGTAGTTGAGACATCTGTAGTTGAGAGGCATCTGAGACTTTGATGCCTATCCAGACACTAGATCTGCACTATTAAGATGACAAAGTCCTGTACCCTGGCTTCCACCCAAAAGACAGAAGTACTGTGCCAAAGACCTCACAGAAACCTGTGCCTTAATTTTAACCTGCCATGCTCCTGAGCTAATGGTCTTGCAATGAGTATAACATGAAGCCATCTGAAGGAGGAAAAAGAAAAAATTAAAACCTCTAGAAATTAAGCAGAAGAACTATTGCAGTCTTAAATACCACTTTTAATGTGCAACTTTTAAGGATCTTCCAAAGCAAAATGTAATGGCACATTTCCACAGCTACGTTAAAACATAACAGTTCAGTTTAAAAAATGGCCTTTTTCCTTTTCAGCAGGTCTCATACAAACATTTTTTGCCCTTATAATGTCATAAGACATTGAGGTACAAACCATTGAGCAGCATATCTTCCAAACCCAGACTAATGTGCTGTTTGCAGGAAAGAATTTGAGGGAAATCAAAAAAGTGACTGACACAGAATTAGTAAGCAAAATGCTGACTGATGGAAAAGAGCTCAGAAGTTTGGAATATATTTCAGTAATCTGGGGAGAGATCATAGTCACTAAGTTCTAGGATGAATGCATTTATTAGAAATTTACCTTAATCAACCCAAAAAAAATGTTCCGCCACATGAATAACTGTTTGCTCCCAATAAGTAATCGTTTGATGGCAAATGTCAAAGTACTATAATTTTTAATGAAGTTTAGAGAAGAGATTGAGATGACTTTGGGAAACTTTTCCAGAAAATACTTAGATGACTCAATGAACTAAGATTTTTTTTTTTTCAAAAGTGCTTCAGAATTAAATATTACTAAAAATCAGGAGTTTTGCAGTTAAAAATGCCTACATCAGTTTCCAAAACAGGATTTTATCTCCTATGATGGCATTGAAGAAAGTCTGCATACACATGCCCCAAAAACTTGAAGCAAATATTTTCTTTCTGAGTGCTATTTTTCCATCCACATTGGCACAAAAAGTAATTAGACAAAAAATATTCCAGGAAAGGCTTTCCCTTCTTGATGTCTGAAATTTCTTCCCATTTTCGTAGTGCTAGATCTTTACATTGTTCCTCATCTTTCTTTTACCTTAAAATAATTTCTGATTTGCAATACTGTGATTTCTGTGCCTCATTTAAGCAAGGTAATCATCTAACACTGCCTCAGGACTACAGAAGTCTAATATGCTCCAGCATCTATTGCTGAGTTGTTTCCAGATTTTGCTTACTTTTAGTCAGAAAAAGCTGAACAGCAGCAGCTGCTTTATCTGTCTTTTACAGTCTTTGATCCCTCAGCTGGAAGGCCTAGAGAACTGTTTAATGTGTAAGGGAAGACCTTTCTATACTGCTATGTGAGAGTCCCTGCTCATATTGGGCAAGATCCAAAGTCCATTAAAGTAATTGAGAATCTTTCTATTGTCTTCTGTGGAGTTTGGTTGGGCCCAAGAGGTGAAAGGCAGTCTCACCGAGATGAAAGACTAACTGGAAACACTTCACAGTCTTGATGGTGATCAGCAGAAGAAAGAGATGGTTAAGTTCTTTCATAAGCTTCAAGGCTAAATTTCTTGGACCAAACCTGAAAACTGGAGTAGTCTCCACTTCAGACGCTGGTTCTCAATGTTTAAACAAACTGTTTCCTTCTACCTGGAAATTGGACATGGTTTTGGAATGCTTTGGCTTTGCTGATGCATGTGGCACTCGGGGAATAAGCAATGGTTAACCCAGCCTAACAGACAAAGTCTACAGAGACTTACGAGTGCTTAGGAAACAGACCTCAATCAGCATTTTACAAGAGGAGATTGTGAAAAAAAGTGCTTTTTCTTAGGTTTGAAATAGCCATAGAAAGCCTAAACACACTTCAATCTAAAAATGATATACTAATTATTATTTTTCCATTTATACTGGAAGTGCTATCAAAACTTCACAACTGTGTAACCATGACATGACTAAAGATGCAATGTTACCTATGCAAATGAAATAATTATAATAAAAAATGTTTTCTTTATTGTCCACAAAGTACTGAAATTCTAGGTCATTGCTATAAGAATTCATGTGGTGATTATCTTACTAACCATTCATCGCCCTACAGATTAGATCCTGAAGCACCTGTCAACCATATTCTGTTGCGGTTGGGATGGGACACAACAAAAATATATGTAAGAAGGCAGCCTTTATTAAGTTACAAAAAGCCAAGATGGCCAAGATGGCGCAGCAGAAAAAACATACCCTTTTATAACCTTTCTTATCTGTCCATCGGTTCATGCACTAAGGCTGTTAAAATGATTCGCTCAATAGCTCTGTCCATTCACCTCTATTCACATACTGATTGGCTGGAGCTCCTACTGTACTTCCCACTTCATCTACTGTTCTCTTGCCAAATTTCTGCTCTGTGGTATTCACTTGTTTAGTCTCTTCTTGCTCAGTCTCTTAGCACCTCCTCAAACCTGTTTACAACATTCTTCATCCACTTCTTTCACCTTCTCACAGGTATACTGGGATGCTGTCAAGGCCAACTTCATCTTCCTCAGTCAGGCTATCCCCGACAATATTCCTATGCAAATTGCTTTACTTTGCAAAGCTAGCAAAGTGATGACCTCAAAGCCTTTCAATGGTACTGCATGGCTGCCTAACATCACACCCCTAGCAAGCAACTTACAAGGCTGATTGAGAGCACCAAAAAGTGCAAACTATCCATCACAGACAGACAAAAAGATAATCACAATATAATGAAACACAATTCCAATATGAGTAAACAGAGTAAGTTGCATCTTACTTCACTTGAATTTTCTGTTGTGATGTTTTTACTTTTCAGCTTTTTCTGCAGCAGTTTGGTTTCATACTCTGGTCTAGGATGCTCCTGGAAAAGGAAAAAAAAAAAAAAAAAAACATAACCAAATGTGTGATTATGATTAAGAGAAAAGGAAAAAAAGTTCCGGTCACTTATTCATGATCCAAGCCATCAAGATGATTCAACACCACAGCATATTTTAGACTTTGGTGAACACTGCCTAGAGGTATGGGAAACATTATGGGATGCAGGGGAAGACCATTTAGGGTGCCCAAGACTTATTATAGGATGCTTAGGGGAGAAACCAAAGGTGGGGAAGGGAGGGATCTAGGTCTTTTGGGGACGAACAACTGGAAAAATAGAGAGATAAGGAGATAAAAAGGGCTGGTCACATGTAAATAGTTTGCTGGTCTGTATGTGGGTCTGAACATCAGCAACTGGAGCAAGCATGGGTGTGAGACTGGTATGTAAGCACTAGGGGAGATCAAGCTGGAGCAACTGGCAAGTAGGTGAATTGTCTGGGAGCCAGGGAAGTGTGAGTGCCTAAGGGCGAGACCACGGTAGATCTATGTGTCTGTGTGTTCAAGGTCAAGACCAGAGTGAGTTGGCTGCTGGAGACCAGAGGAGTCCCAACCAGCTCTGGGGAGCAGGACATACGTGTGAGCGAGCACCTGGAGAGGGGCTGTAGTATTGCAGGCTTGTACCTCTGGGTGCCAGCAACTGGGGAGACTGGGGCCCAGAGGCAGCTACTGGGCAGACTGAGTGAGGCCAGCTGCTGGGGAGGGCCACATTGTACATATGTGCATATATATATTCTCATTAGCAGACCTCCATCCTGTTTAGCCAGGGAGGGGAGCAGGATGAAGCTGTTCTGCTGTCTGTGTTTGTGTGCCTGCTGTGGGTGTCTGTCTGTGTGGCTGACCATGTATATATGCATATATGTGGTGTATATGTGTGAATGACATGTATCTCACCACTCCCATCAAGTTCTGAATTCATTCAGAGCCTGGAATCTGGATTTTATGTCTCCCACAAAAAGGCTTTTCCTGGCATTTGTGGTACAATTCACCCTTATTATAATTAGAACATATGCTTATCAGCCCAGTCACAAAATTGACTTACTAACACTTTTAATGAATCTGGTAGCCATGAAGAAAATAAAAAACATATTTTAAAAAATGTATAATCCTCATGGACAACAGAAGGGGGGCTGCATGGAACTTCAGCAGTCTTCCTACCTGTGCTGTTCATTTTCTGTTATCTGTAACATTTTCGCTACATCAGACACCATCTCGAGCATTCTCTATTGCATATCAGTATATGTATTTTTTATTCTGATTATGAGATTTTCCTGATGTATTAAACAGGTGTGTAAGCACTTATTTAAATAACTGCCTTAAATTAATATTTCCATATATTTTTGAACTCTATGAACAAGTCATATGTACGTCTATCTTAAAGGCAGTGCCACAAATGGTACATGGATTCTACTGCTCCCAGGGAGTCTAATAATAACATGGGAGGCTGGCGGGAACTTTTTCTCTGGAGCTCAAGTACAGCTATGCCTCTGAGACTCTAGCACTACGATGATATACCAAACAAATACAATGAAATTGCTAGCGTGGTGGCTTGTTTTACACTTGTAATATTGTGTACTATTCAGATTAATAAAACATGTTCTAAGTGTGCATGTGTGATGCTTTGCACCACGGAGTTCCTCACATAAAAACCAATACCGCAATGAATGAAGTTCAGGAATCACTATATCACTTCTTGTCACAAAGGTCACTGTTGTTATTACTTACAAAGTTCTATAAGTGTATGTTGGACTCCAAGAAATAATAAGACATGGGTAATGTCTGACATTGCTAAAGCTGATTAGCAGCAAAAATGGTGGTGAGTCGGACGGGGAAAAGAAAGACAAAGGTACACCAATAAGTGTTTAAAGAGGTTGTGGGCGATGCAGGTATCTTGATGTTTTGTAAGTTTTCACTAGCTTGTTGATTTGCATCGATTTGTATCACACTTCCTTAGATAAGGTTCAGAGGTCAGGTGGAAGAACCATCTTTAGACTTAAATGAAGAAAAGATGAAGGCATCAGGCATGGTTGGCTACATGAGAGGAGACTGCTTGATGAAAGTAGGGAAATGAGATAAATGAAGCTGCAAGAAACTGAGGAGATCTAACCACACTATGGGAGCACCTGTAGAGCTGAATTGGCTTTCTTCCTTTCTTCTTATTTTCTGCTAAGCAAAGCATTCTGGGACACCAGGGGCAGCTGCTAGGGGTCAGAGCAAGTTTTGAAAATTGGCTTGAAAGGAAATCGAGTGAGAAAATAAAATGCCAAGCAAAACATTGAAGTGTAACTTGTTTTTTTTGCTATTGACAGTTTTGCTTTGAGTGCATATTCTGTTCAAATTTAGTCATGTTTAGCTTTCCTAGTAAGACATTTCAATGTCCTTTTAACTGCATTTCATACACCTACATCTGGATTGGAAAATTAGTTGAGCTGTCTTCACTGAATCTGCCCTTGATTGAACAGACCACAGTGCCTCCTGGAATGCATGTATCTATATATTCTTTTTATTAATATATTGCATGAAACATTTATTTACAATACAGATTTAGAGATACTTTATCCTGATCATATATACATGGATGTGAAGGAACAATTCCACTCTGCTGTAAAGAGTGTGATTCATAATCAATTCTTTGCCTGAAAATGGGAAGAGTTCTACACTTAGGACAATAAGCTAGAAATAGTTGCGATGACTTGAAGAAGGCCAAATATCCATGTAGGGATAAATATGAATCCCACGATGCTGGAAGTTTTCCAGTACAGCTGCCAGACACTTATTGAAAACCATGTGAGCCAAGGTACTTTGAGGCCAAGTGAGTGTTCAGAGTAGAAAATGATAATTCCCCTCCTGAAAACAAAGAGCCAAATCATGAAATTTTTACTCAGACAAAACTCATATTGACGTCAGTGGGAATTTTCCCTGAGAATGGTCTCCAGGATTTGCCTCAAACATACAACATGTGTATCCACTACACATTGCAAATTAAGGCTGTATTATTAAGGTAATAATGCAGTTTGGTATGAATATATGCAAACCAATCTCTCCTTAATTTCTCTTTGATTTAGAAAGAAAGTGATAATGGAATTTTATAACACATGCATGACAAACACAGCTGAATTGCCAAGAAAAAAATAGAACCTTAGGAACTATCCCAGGTTAACAGACCAAAGGAGCGATCAGCAAGAAAAAAAAGCCAACCTACTGCTTCATTTTTACGCTTAAAATTAATTGAACAGCCTTATCCTAATATGCTGAAAGAAGCAGAACAGCAAAGCAGTCCACACTGGTAGGAAGAAAGGTTTCCACAAACGAGAACTGGAATGACCCAGCTGCTGCCCCAAATCAAGATGGAAACTTGGAATGAACAGAGCACCCAGCTGTTCTCTGCTGCAAGAGGGTTAATTATTACAAATTGAGGAGTAAACCTCTCTATTTCTTATGATGATGACACAGCAGGTAGCAGGGGGAGAAGTCTAAGGAAGAGACTGTTATTCACACCAATGATCTGTATAGACTGTCCTAGTAATGGGATGCTCATCCAAAGTACTTTTATATCTCAGCATGTATGAAGGGATCACTGATAGATGTTCACAATCTTTTTAGTCCAGATCACTTGCAAAATAAATTTGATTTATCTAAAATTAAAACAGAAGCTTGAATAAGTCATCTAACATTATTACACATTTAAAGATGTTAAAAGACAAAAGTTACTGTACAAATACATAGGAACTAAGCTATCAAAGGTATTCTAAAGCAACATAAAACTGAAGTAGTTAAAATAAAAGAACCCATAAGGTATATTATGGAAATACACTTGCCAGACAGAGAGAGAGAGAGAGAGAGAGATCTATATATACCCAAGTGCAACGTCTTGTACTTGGGTTGAGGCAATCTCAAGCACACGTACAGGCTGGGTGACGGGTGAATTGAGAGCAGCCCTGCAGAAAAGGACTTGGGGGTGTTGTGGATGAAAAACTAAGTACGAGCCAGCAATGTGTGCTCGCAGCCCAGAAAGCAAATGGCATCCTGGGCAGCATTAAAAGGAACCGTGGCCAGCAGGTCAAGGGAGGTGATTCTACCCCTCTACTCTGCTCTGGTGAGACCCCACCTGGAGTACTGCATTAATCTCTGGGGCCCCTAGCACAAGAAAGACACGGACCTGTTGGAACAGGTCCAGAGGAGGGCCACAAAGATGATCAGGGGGCTGGAGCACCTCCCCTACGAGAACAGGTTGAGACAGTTGAGCTTGTTCAGCCTGAAGAAGAGAAGGCTCCGGGGAGACCTTATAGTGGCCTTCTGGTTCTTAAAGGAGGCCTACAGGAAAGGTGAGGAGGGACTCTTGACCAGGAAGGGCAGTGATAGGAGGAGGGGTAAGGGTTTCAAACTTAAAGAGGGTAGATTTAGATTAGATATTAGGAAGAAATTCTTTACTGTGAGGGTGGTGAGGCACTGGAACAGGTTGCCCAGAGAAGCTGTGGCTGCCCCCTCCCTTGGAAGTGTTCTAGGCCAGGCTGGATGGGGCTTTGAGCAAGCTAGTCTAGTGGAAGGTGTCCCTGTCCATGGCAGGGGGATTGGAACTTTAAGATCCTGTCCAACCCAAACCATTCTATGATTCTGTGATTCTATGATAATGCCTTTGTTTGCTCCCAGTGAGAAAAACAGTAGTAGGGCTTTGGAGGATTACCTGCAAAACTAAATTTGGCTTCAGATTTTTAAGTGCCCTTAGGCTAGGACCAAACAATCAAATGCTGCCATTGCAATGTCAAGGTATCACATTTTGTGGGTAACTAGCAGAATATAGCATCATTTATTGTTGTTCATTGTACCATTCAAATCCAATCCATTTAACTACTCCTACATCGGTAAGTGGAATGGTGTGAAGCTAGATGTCCCTTGAACTATGATACTGAAAATTTTGCTTAAAATTATTTATTCTACAGCATGATAAGTCATTGCTGAAACAAATGAGCTGACAAACATAGAGAAGAA